TGTTACAACTTTTTTTAGATTGAGTAATGCTGTCAATAAATTATTTGCTCTGTCTATGATGGATTAATCCTGATGTTTTGGTTAGACCCACGTTGGGTATGGGCCGTGGCTTTAGATAGCATATGAGTTATTTTTAGAGCACCTTCTGAGTAACTTATTTTGTGGGCTTTATACATATAGTTATGGACTTGGCTTATAACAAATATGGTTTGAGAGGAGCAACAACTCATGAATGTATGGATCATTATAGGCCCGATCATCCATTTGATGAATCTTCGTTCTGGTGGGGGCTGATACCATCAACAGTGTCAGCAATGTTATGGGATATGATGCCTCCAGGATTCCACATCACTTACAGAGATCTTGGCGTTCCTTGTGGACTTGTGTGTGTTACTGTATAGACTTAATAAGTGTGTCTGATATTTGAGTGTGGGAGATTGTGCTATTATATTTAGTTGATTTGCACATCTAGCATGTGGTATGACATGAAATATTACATGAATCACCATACACCCCCAAAGAGCCCCTTTGAGCGAACTTTTCTAAGGGTTTAACCCCATGTGGTTGGATATTGAGTCACAAAACCAACTGCCTGCCATTCTCACTCTCCTTCCCTTCTTCTGGACCCATATTTTTTTTGTACTCCAGTGACTTTGTGGGTTAGCAGGTCTGGAGTTATAGTTGGATGCTTCTGTACCTTTTTAGCTCTCACATGGTTGAGTAAATTAAACATTAGTCTTAATATTCCACATTTAACTTCTATTTTTTTCTGTTTGATCATTTCTTCTAATAATAATCTTTGTACATGTCACTGTTACTGAACTTTAATATTTTGTTCCCTTCACTGTGTTCTTTAATGAATATAAATATATTATTATGTTGTGTGGTAACTGTTAATCTGTTCCACAAAATGTTTATCATTGCAGGTGGAAAGCACTCCTGAACTCTCTCGTAGAGAAAGGTATATGCATACTTTATTTCCTCTCAAAGCATTTGCTAATTGAGCATCCATGATTGGTTATGTAGGCTTCTACATTCTGTATTTCTTATTGCCTTATTTATCTATTTACATCATATAAGATGTTCATGTATTCATTTGGCAAGCATGTCCTAATTTTATGAGATAATGGCCTAATTATAAGATAGTCATGATTTTTTTTACGGTTGGAGATATGCATTTGGTTTTTCCAGTCTTAGTTTTGATACTTTATTTGTCAGTTATAAGATTGGTGATTTTTTGGTAGATTTATTAAAAAGTTATACTCAGTAAGAAACAGATATATTAGGGGAACGGATAATACATGGATAAAATAAATTGAATTTTATTTTATTTTTGGATGTTAGCGTGCTGGCTTCTCACCAAGCAACAAAATAAAATAGCATTTTCAGACCACTATTGTCATTTATCACATCATTATTCTATGGGGATCTAAACTTCCAGGATGTTTAATATATGATTAGTGACTCCGCCAATGGCTTGAGGAGGGATTGATGTACTTAATTTCTTGCAGGGATGGTTAACACTTGTTAGGTATTGTGTCTAATAAGTGCTTCTACAATTTTATATAGAGAATAAGCTTCCAGGAAGTACCAAGTAGAAGACTATACTATGGGATATACTGAATTATAATGGAATAATAATAGAGAAATTGTCTGAGCATGAGATTTAAGGGCTTACGATATGTCCATTTACAGGACTAGTAGTGCACCAATTCCCCTAAATTATGTATAGTAAAATTGGACATGCAATGATAGACTCTTGCCATGTGAATTAAAAATGCCATTATGGTATTGAATATAATAAAATTTGGAATGCTAGTGCATACTGTGGTATTTTTGTATTGAATCTTTTTCGGAAAACTAAATTGTTTTCCTTGGCAACACATCATGTGTTTTCATCCTTTTAATTATAATTAGTTGCATTTAATACAATAGTTTGAGAATAATCTAGTGACTAACTATTTAAAATAAAATATTAGTTGATAATTATGTATGTTGTAACTGTACTATGGCCCATAATAGTATGGGCATGCAGTTAATCTATTTAGGAATTCAAACTAGTATGTTACACAGTGATTTAAAAAGGCGCTCGGGCGAGGCGAGGCGAGGCCCGAACGTCTCGCTTCACTTCGAGGCGGCGCGCTTCAAAGAGGCGTTGGGCGCTTCGAGTGAGCGCCTGGGTTAAACCAATCGACCGAACCAGGATTTTAGGTCTGGTTCGGTCTCCGATGGTTAGTTGGTTCAATCGAACCAACTAAAATTGATATCAGCTGTCGCTGCCCAACCCTAACCCTGCTCGTTGCCGCTGCCGCTACCGCTCCCGTTGCTCGCCGCTGTCGCTGTCGCTGCTTACAACCGTTGCCACTGTCGTTGCTCGTAACCGCTGCCGTTGTCGCCGCTCCTGCTCTCGCTGTCGCTGCTCGCCGCTGCCGTTGCCGCTGTCGCTACCTCCTTACACTCCCGCTGTCGCTGCCTGCTTACATTATCGCTGCCTCCTTACACTCCCGTTGCCGCTTCCTCTTTTCTCAGTCAGCACCCCCTTACACTCTTCCTTCTTCTCCATCTGTATACTGTTTACAGTATACAGTATACTATTAATATTATTAGGTTTATTTGAAATTATTAATTTTCAATACTGTTAATAGATTAATAATATATTATTCTTAATTTAATAGCATATTTTTATTTAATATTTTAAATAATTATATTTATTAATTATATTATATATTTTTATATTTTAGCGCCTCGTTTCGCTCGGGCGAGCGCCTAGCGCCTCGGGCGTTTTTGGACCTTAGCGCCTTTTGACGCCTAGCGCTTTTTAAATCATTAATGTTACATAAGAAGCATATGGAAAGTATTGCGTAATGCTATTATAATGCCTCAGTGTCCTGTCCTCAACTCTTTGCACGAGAAAAACCCGTTTCTTTATTGCATTCCAGCAGTCGTCTTTCCAGATTGAATAGGATTAATGTAGATATCTCCCAATTTCTGCAGTTCTCTTTCAAACATGGTAAGCTGATGTCCTCTTTTTATGTTCTCCTTTTTGTTTCCTATCTCTGTAACAGCAAAATTTTCATTCATCTGGAGGAAAATTTGACTTGAACTTGAAAAAAAAGACCCTACAGAATGCTATTTCATATTGGACATCTTTTCCTTGCTGTATTTTTCCGAGATACCTTCCTAAGAAGGATCAGCCCACTGCATGACCAAAATCTGTTCTAATGTCACCTAGATTACACTAGTATTCAGTTCACTTTCATGTTTGAAAATTGACATCAAGATACTGTTTCTCTGTCCAATAAATTTAGTGATGATTTCTTTATGTTCTAATATATTTATACTTTTGTGTTTCATGCATGAATAGTAGTATCAAAAGAACTAGACCTTTGGTCAACAACAACAACAAAAAATCTTTTTTGATCATTAAAAGATATGATAATGCTTTTAGCATTGGCCTTTTTAGGAGCAGTTAGACTTAAATGTTATGTTTGGCTGATTTTCTTCTTTGAGGCCATGATTGTACATTTTTCCTGTTATCAAGCTTATGATTTGAATTACTTTATTACTAATGCTTCTGTGATCTCTTTCTGTAGGGAAGAGATAGAGAGGCAGAAAGCTCATGAACGATACATGAGGCTGCAGGAACAAGGAAAAACAGAACAAGCTCGAAAAGATTTGGGTAACAATCACGCAAGCACTTTGCTGTTTACTCTCTTTCTCTCTCTCTCTCTCTCTCTCTCTCTCTTACTCTGTTGAAGTGATCCGGCACCATGGGAGAGGGAAAGAGAGAACCGGAGATAGAGCGAGAGAGGCATGTGGGAAGGAAAGATCAAAGAAAAGGAGAAACAGGAAGATAACTGTCAAAAAGGATGATAGGGATACTGGATGGTAGGCTAAATATAAAAAATCAGATAGGGAACTTAGTTTGGAAGGATTATAGGGCAGTAACCTCTGTTCCGGATTGGAACCGGCGAAATTGTGCATCCTTTTTTCTGGTCGGACTAGTAAATAGTGGTTTGGTCAGTCCGACTGGTCCGATCAGGTTTTTTTTAATTCATATTCTGATATATTTTGAGTTTCTATTGAAAAGTATATATCTTTATTTTATAAGATAATAAGCATACTCTTACAAATTAAAATTACCTACTTTTGAAGTGGCCAATGTTCTTGAACATGGGTGTTCAATTTTTTAAATATTATGGATGACAAACACAAGTATTTTATTATTGGACTTAAGGAAAAATGCAAGATTAATGCAACCTATGTTCGATGTATGCATGTGCCATGTGAGTAGCCATGAAGAGAGCATTGTTCCCCCCTTTTAAAACACCATATCATTCGGCACTTGTTTTTATCACATAGTAGTAATATTGGTTATTATCACATATGTCTCATTCTACTTTTGTGTTCCATAGAGCGCCTAGCATTAATACGACAACAAAGATCTGAGGCTGCAAAGAAGCGTGACGAGGAAAAAGCTGGTATGATATATATATGTTCCGTGTTACTAATTGATACTAAGGGTACTAATTCTTTGCATACTGATTGATCCCATCCCCTTACTATGCTGACAGCCAAAGAACAGAAGAGGGCTGAAGCTCGCAAATAATCAGACTTTGAGTGTGCTTTTCAGCTCCGTATGTTTGTATTTTGTTTCAAGTTGTTACTATTGTGCGTCTGCAGCATATTAAGTTTTTACCAAATGTGCATGTCAAAGCATATTTTGGTTATTGTAGATAACGATATTTAATAGAATGTTGAATTGGCAGCAGAGTTATCTTTGTGCTGTGGCGCAACATTAACTTGTCTTTATTAGTGCTGGTGCGGAACTCCTACTCTGAATTATAAACAAAGACTATACAGCAAATCTGCTAACCCAGTAAAAGAGAACAGAAACGAGAAGAAGAACCAACAAATCATTCAACTGTGATACTTTTTGTTTGGTACAAATATTTACTAGAAAAATAATAATCAGTGCAACGTAAACTTAAATAAAGATAACAAATATTTTGCTCCACATCTGATCTACGCTGAACAACAACCAGCTTTCTTAACAGCAGATACATCATCATGGGTGCCGATGTTGATGGTTTGACCCTTTGGCAACGTTGTGGGATCATCACCAGCATCGAGCGCCTTCCTGCTTGTGACACGATATATCTGGGTGAGTACTTCTGTGAAGGCATTATCCACGTTGGTTGATTCTAGAGCAGATGTCTCCATAAAGAAGGAGTTCTCCCTCTCGGCAAAAGCCTTTGAGTCCTCCACCGTGACAGCCCTGAGATGGCGCAAATCCGCTTTGTTGCCCACAAGCATAATCACAATACTGGAATCAGTGTGATCCCTTAGCTCCTTCATCCATCTCTCCACATTCTCAAATGTCGTATGCCGAGTAACATCATAGACCAGAAGGGCCCCGACTGCTCCTCGATAATAAGCACTAGTGATTGCTCGGTATCTATCAGAAAGTGTTTGTCTTTTTTTTAAAATTTAAAAAAAAGTTATCATGCTTTAATATTTTACAAAACTTACTAGAAAGTAGAAACAATAGCAATGCTGTTCTAGAACGTCCAAGAGTTAGACAATGCCCCAAAAGGTAGCTGGGATTTGTGATTGCAGTAAGCAATTCACGTTGAACAATGAAACAAGATATATTATTTATTTGTATAAAGATGTGCTCAGTCGTTAGAGTATGTATAATCAAAATAACAAATGGAAATAATAAACTAAATCAAACAAAAAACAATTCAATTACTTGATGAAATTTATATTAATTAAAACACCATCTTAATAATTTGACCTAACTAATCAGAAAAGGAATGATGTGCTAAAAAAAAACACCAAAATTACTGCTACTCTCTCTCTTATACACACACACACACACACACACAAGATCATAAAAGTCCAAGAGAAAAGAGCATAAAAAACTACCATATTATCTATGGCTCTAGACCATACTATAGAGGGTAGCTAAACAAATATATGATATTAGGACACACAACTTATATTTGTTAATTGGTCTATATGCAAGCCAAACATTGTTACTAACAAAGTGGAGAACTGATCCACATCTTCGTTCTATAGCCAGAACCAGTCCAAGTCTGAATCAGGGTGGGGGGATACGTCCAACCCCATTTCCACCAAGCTTTATGCTAGATAAGGAATTTCGCAATCCACAAGGCTTTATGATACTTGGGGTTTATCCAGAAGGATCATTTTGACTATTACGTGCTCAACAAAAGCAAAAAAAACTTCCAGAGGCAATGGTGGAAGAACAAAGTTCATACTGCATACGCATAGATGCCACATATGCAACATGTTACTTGCTACCCAATACAACAATGTCCGAAAACCAATTTCTCTTCTAGTGTCAACACCTCCATAGAAAGACAACAGCCTCTAATCGTTTAAAACAGGAGATGGACAATCTTCACCAGCTCCATTGGGTCAATGTGACGCAAGCCACTTCAACATGGTCCACTGGTTTGTCAAGAAATCTCAATCCATTGATGGATCAGATCAGGTTGGACACATGTTCCCATACTATTAAGGTTCTTCAAATTGGACAAAAGCATTAGGCAGACAGGAAGGGTGCACGCCAAGCTATCTTAACCTACTGAGATAGTAGGTCGAATTTGCATTATCCCTAAGTGTAAATATTGCTGCAATTGTAATATATCTAACTCAATCTAACCTGACACGATGACCACCCAAATTTGGACAGCGATATTCACAGGCAATTTTCCTAACACACGTTTGATTAAAGAGCAAAAGAAAACCTATTGCCCAAATTAAAACAATCAAAATTCTTATATAGGTACGCAGTCATTCTGACTTCTAGCATCAGTACTGCATCAGTCAGCGTAATGGAATCTAGATGCCTAGACACAAGTACACCGCAATAAGCATTGGCATTTTTAGTAAAGGTTCATGGTAACAGATCTTCATTTGATACCTAACAACTTCAATTTGTAATCCCCATGATTGTTCAGCATCACCCATAAACTAATTAAACAGATTGAAAATACAGTGGCATGTTTGTGATCATGGACACCTTTTTCACTATAAAAGAAAACTTCTTTGGACCTTTAAGTTACAAGTACACCGATACCTAGTTTCCTCTTCATAAATCTGAATCTAATAAGATAAAACCCTCCATGATATCAATCAACAAATAATTATCAGCAAGAGATGTCCAATTCAGACATCGAAAACTGTTTTCCCAGGTGAGGTGATGCATTAGGATCATCCAACTGCATAAGCATTATATTCAAACTGGAACTTAATACATTGGGGACGGAAGAAAGCGATTTGAATTACCATATAGTTCTATGTTACATGGTAGAAAGAACTGGAATTCACATTAGAAATATTGAGAGTGGTCCAAAACCAAACATGTGAAGACCAAGTAACCAGTTAATGAAGATATCATTTGCCATCATTTATTTTCTAAGTTTATAAAACTATGGAGATTAATGGTGAAAGTCCAAAGCTTGCACCAATTTTTGCATTTACAAAAGGAAGCAATCAGAGAACTCAAGTTATAATGCAAGAAAGAACAATATTGTGATTAGGTACCACTTATCAATCTTCATCAGATCCATTGGGTCGATCTGAGCCCATGACACTCAATATGACCCATTGGACTTAACAGCAAGACCCGAATGAAGAAATCTTGATCCGTCGATACATCAGATCAGGTTGAACATATGTTTCCACACTAGTAAAATTTAATAAATTGAACAAAATCATCAGGCAGTGCATGCCAAGATATCTGGTTCTTCTAACATAGTAAGTCGAATCAAGTTATCCCTAACCAGATGTTTTGTGACCACCCTATTTTGGATGTTGACATTCATGGGCAATTTTCATAACATTCATTTGCTTAAAGAGCAAATGGAAACCTAACGCACAGACTAAAGCAAACAAAATTCTTCCATAGGTAAGCAGCATTCTAACTTCTAGCATCAACACTGCATCAATCATTATCAAAGATTCTAGAATGACTAGATGCAAAGGACACCATGATAAGCATTGGTATTTTTAGTATAGATTCATGGTAACAGATTATCATTTGGTACCTGACATCAGCATCAAAATAAACTATTTTAACAGACTGAAATATACAGTGCCATGCTTGTGATCATGGAAACCTTTTTCACTATAAAAGAAAACTAAGGTTCTCATATGTGTATAGTCCTTGGAAGAAATTCAGGAACGACCAAAAACATGAAAAACTTTAGGTAATAGGATATGAATCTTTAATTTTGAGAACATACCTATTATGTTTGCTCTCTTATTTGTATCGTTTCCCCTGAATTACAAAGTAAGAGTCAACTTTTATTCTGACACCTAGGTTCCTCAAAGATCTGAATCTAATAAAGTAATGCTCTCTATGATGTCAACAAACACCTGATTATCAATGAGAATAAAACAGAAAGAAGATGGTCCATGATGTCCAATTCAGACATGGAAAACTGTTTTCCCAGGTGAGGTGATGCAGTAGGAACATCCAACTGTTCACTATATCTTGAATCTGGAACTTAACATAATGAGGATCGGAGGGGGCAATATCAATCACCATTGACTTCTATGTAACACAGTAGAAAGAACTAGAATTCACATATAAATATTGAAAGTCGACCAATAGCAATAGTCAAAGACAATCTTATTTTAGATCACTATGAGTAAAAAGAACTTCATACAATCCCCAGAAGCATGTGAAGACAAAGTAACCAGTTAAGGAAGATACTGTTTGCCATCATAACCTTTTGGTTATGATGCTATAAAGATTAATGTTGAGATTCCAAGCTTGCACCCATTTTTGCATTTACACAAGTGAAGAAATCAGCAACACTGAAGTCATATTACAAGGAAGAACAATAATGTGATTAAATGCATATGATCAAGAAAACTCCTACATGGAGGACACTCGAAGGTGCTCCTTAGGAAATTTAGTTTTGACCTATCTAGAATGATTATCTACACACAAGATCACTATATGTTTGTTTATATTACAAATTCTTCACGACTGAATTAGCAGTAATAGGAATGACGAGGAGACCTTGGACTAGAATTACTTCTTTTCAAAATGGGGACCGGACCTTGCACCACCTTAGGCCGCAGAGTTCAAAACGTAGGCAGGTAGGGCACACGGATCAATCTAAACCCAGTTAAGACTACAGAGACCATGGATGGACATCATCCATCCATCCACCATATAAGGTGAGGAATGCACGGCTTGATCGCAATAGAAATCCAAAGCCTCAGCTCCGACAGAGCGGAGAGAAGTTCTATCATCCGACAAGGGGGCCACATAAGACAAGATGTCTGTCCGTAGTATCCAGTTCTCATGATTGCAGAAACTTCCAAAATCCCCATCGATAACAGATCAGGAGCTTTGGCATGGAATAATCTAATAAGGAGTGCATCATTCACATCAACTAGAACCCATCCACGGGAACCCTAATCTCTTTACGGAATCGAAACTAGCGGGCACGAGATACCGGGAGAACGACTGCACCCCAAGCCCGATCCGACATCCAAGCATCCGAAACCGGCCAAAAGATCAAGGATAATCGAAGAAAGGAGCATAATAAGAAACCGACTCCCTCCGATGGGGGGAGATCGGATCAGATGCAATGGGATAGCGAATCGAACCTTTCTTGGCCGGCGGTATCCCAAATCTGGGCCTTAACGACCTTATCCTCGACGCGGATGCTGCGGGTGGCGAACTCGACGCCGATGGTGGACTTGGACTCGAGGCTGAACTCGTTGCGGGTGAACCGAGAGAGGAGGTTAGACTTCCCGACGCCAGAGTCGCCGATGAGCACCACCTTGAAGAGGTAGTCATAGTCGTCGTCGGACCTGTACGCCATTCCTCAGCCTCCGCCACCGCCGCTTCTATCCGGCGATCAGATCCGCGCTCCGTCTGGCTCAGCGTACCTCTCCAACGCCGTCGCTCTCCTTCGACTCGGAGGAAGTGGGAATGGGTTGTCGCAGGGGAAATGAAACGTTTCGGGGGAGACGGTTTCTCTTCTTTTTGTACTTAATATTAAATCTTTTATTAGAATTATTTTGTTTGCTAACGATTATGTTTGTTATTAACGATGTAATTAATTAAAGACAAGCAGTTACTGCTGCCCTTTAAAAGAAGGATGACGAGGGGAACGACGTCATCATCCCTTCTATTTCTGACCATTTTCTATTATTATATAATTTCTGCTTCGAAAAAGAAATAATATTTTTGTAATAATATATATATATATATATATACATATATATAAATGGAGGAAAATTTTCGTTTCATTTGTTTTTGGTTAATCACATGTACAAATTTTGCTATTACCAGACTGCCTTCATAATTTGACCGTGACACCTTTTGTTTTGCTCATTCTAAGTAGAATTTGATCGAAATAGTTGACAAGATCCATTATATTCAAAAGTATCCAACCATATATAATCATTTTTATCAAAAAATAAATATATATAAAAAAAGCCAAGAAGAAGTATTACCTTTGTTTTCTCAAAGAAAACTAATATAAAACAGTTGTTTAGTGTCACTGAGGTATGCCTAAAATTGATTATAAAGATATTACGGTCAACTAGAGCTTAAGTATTTTAGATTAGTGATTTATTTTAATGAAGTCAATAGGTCAATTGTCTCATCAAATCCTATTGAAATAATTAATGATATTGGATTGAATCTAATATTTGAAGTATTATGAAAAATTAGAATAGACATGATTTTATTAAAAGTACGATAAGACGCGTAATGATAGAATGATCATAATACCCATTAGTTTAAAAAAACTAAACACATTTAATATGACTTTTTAGGTTAATTTCGATAATTTTGGCCCAAGTCTGTCACACTTAAAAAGACAATAATAATTAGATATAATTATAAGATACTTGATACAGTAGTATGTATCTTAGGAAAAGAGTAGTACTACTACTTGGAGTGCAGCTTTATCTATTTTATGTTGATCTTAAGAATCAAATTTGATCTGCAACATCTGAAAGCTTCCATGATCTATCTCTATTATTACTTCTTTTTTTTTTTAGAAAAAAAATCTACTAAGATTTCACTACTCTACCAAAAGACTTAGATAAATCATTTTAGATCCATCCATCCAGACAACCTAATGTGCTCTCAAATCACCTTCTCTAAAACAATACAAGATAACTACTGAATGTAGTCGTAGCAGAAGCTATCAGCTATTTGATGTTTTACAAGCCATAGGCACTGTCGATTTAGAGTTTAGCAAGTCTGCTAAGAAGATTGATGAGCCCGTCTAAACTTGAAGTTGTGTGAAACTATTATTGATCGAAACTATTGCTGAGTGGGGATTTATTCTTGAGATACATTAGACTTGCTGCACAGCATCTTCCACAGTGATCTCTATCACCCTGAAAGACTCAGTATTACGTTTATAGTAGCCTATAGGTATTTTTGCCATTATAGCTGAAGAGTATTATTACACATCTTCAGACCAAGCAATTCTAACATAGTAACCGATGTAAGCTATAATAATGTAATGTACGCATTTAAGGCATTACGAATCAAAATTGATTTGTAATGCAATGATATATTATAAATCTATGGATCCATAGTAGCATAATTTTTTTTGTTTATTTAAATAATCCTTCTCTTAAAGCAAGAAAGGATTGAGTAAATAATTTTTAGCTCTAAGTAGAACGATGATATTTAAGAATATTTCAAGTGCTTATATAATCATATTTAGTATAAATAATAATAAACCATTAACTACCATCATTGTTTAGATATCTAAAGTATATATTTAAAACTTGTAATGTCATGAATATTAAGGTCATCGAGATGAGTAGGAGAAGTGGTGGTTTTGCCGCTAATAAGATGTAGTCCATTTGTATTATGAGTGAAGCTAAGGGAAGGTAAGGCTTTTATTGAGTTAAAAGCTGAGCAAACAAAAATATATAAAAGGATAATGGATCTGCTGGTCTAACACCATATTTATTGAGAAAATTAGAGAAATTTTTTTCATTAATAAGGCAAGAAAAATAAGGAGATTAAACACAAGCTTGAATCTAGGCATGTATTTAGGATAGACATGCTTAAGAGAAAGAGTTCTAAAGACAACATCCCAATATGCTTTATGCCTATCAAAAGCTTTCTCAAGATCTAACCTAATTATTACTGTAGAATCTATGTCCTTAGAAGAATACATATAATGAGCAGCTTCCTAGTTACAATTAGAATATTATCATAAATATTATGCTTAGGAATTAAGATAGAATATTCACTATTAATTAGGGTATTAAGAAAAGTTTTTAAATGATTGACTAAAACTTTGGTCATAATTTTTTAATTAACATTAGCCAAACTAATAGATCAGAAAAGTAATGAAAGCATGATTATAGAAGGATTGAAAATTTATGAGAAAATAAGAAGAGAGAGAGAGAGAGAGAGAGAGTATTTTAATAAGATTTACTCTTGCCCATGCCCACAGAGATAACAACTTTATAAATCTCATTAATACTGAAACTAGATATTAAAGAATCTGTATGACCATTAGAGATTTGAGGAGTAATAGACCAAGCATGATTATTAAAATATTTATTAATAGTATTATTCTAGAGATCAAAATAGTGTTTAGAAAAAAAAAAGGGTGCAAAATTAGGGTGGTGTCTTGAATAAGATTGTTATTAATATCATAAATTCCTCATATAAAATTTTTATATTTGTGTTACACAACCAAATTATGAAAGTATTAAATATTTTTGTCACCATCATTAATCCAATGATATTTAGCCTTAGCCTACCATTTGAGATTTAATTATTTAATAAAGGTCATTTGATAGTTATAAAGAGAGGAAAGCTGTAAGAGAATAGAATTAAAATGAATAGCATTATCCAGCTTAGATTCAAGATCAATAATATATATTTTTTTTAATAGTATCTAATTTAGTTTCAAGCATAGCTAAATTATTCTTATTTCAGTAAGAAAAAACTCTATAAGCCTTATAAAGATTAGGGTAAAAAAAGTAAAAAGGGATTCATTAGAATTAGTAGGAGCATTCCAAATAGAAGAAATCAAATCTCTATTTTTAGTATAATGAGTTCAAAATTTTTGAAATCTAAATAGCTCACTTCTATTTTAATTGAAACTTTTTTGAATGGTATCTAAATTAGTTTCAAGCATAGCTAAATTATTTTTATTTCAATTAAAAAACTCTATAAACCTTATAAAGTTTAGAGTTAAAAGCAAAATGGGGTTCATTAGTATTAGGTGGAGTATTCCAAACAGAAGAAATCAAATCTTTGGTTTGAGTATAGTAAGTTCAAAAATTTTGAAATATAAATAGCTTACTTCTATTAAAATTGAAACACATTAAATTCATTTTAAGTGGAGCTTGGAGCTTGATCAGAACAAATTCCAGGAAGATAGTAGACACAAGAATTTCCATAAGAGTTAATTTATAAATCATCTTAAAAAATTCTATCTAATCTAAAATAGATTGTAGCATGACCTCTTCTATTATTACACCGAATATAATTCGATCCACAAAAATATAAATCAATAAGATTATAATTTTTTGATAAAATCACTACAAGCATGAGATGAAGCATTAATAGAAAATTATCTACCTCCTATTTTATCCTTTGAATGCAAAATACAATTAAATTCTCCCATAATCCACCTATCTATGTCATGTCAGGAAGACTTAAAAGCAAAAAATTGATCCCCTAGCTTGTTGTGATAAAAAAATAGAGGTATTAGCAAAAACACCAGTTAAAAGCCAACGTTTATCATTCTAAAATTAAACTATTGTATAAATAAATTAAGATTGTTTGGATATCATCCAAATATTAGAGGACCAAGCAAGAATAGTTCTACCGGAAGCTCCTTCAACTTTTAATAGCTCTCACAGATTGTTTTGCATAAGCAAGAGTTTCCTATAATAATAATAAAAAAAAAAGTTTCTTGTCTTCTACAAAGAAACTCGAGGAGTTTATTCCATTATTAGCATATAAAAGATTTATTTCAGAAATATAGTAAGATATTTTAAGATTTATTTTACTAATGGTTTCAAATCAAAATGGGTATATCTTGGAATCCAAATATATACCTTTGAAAAGAATATAAATATGTTATAGAAATATCAGGATCATGAACTAGGTTAACAAGAGGATTCGTGGAAGAACTTTGAGCCTGAATAACAAAGAGCACTTTATTGGCTATCCATTTGGCTTCAAGAGTTTTAGCGTGTCTCCAACAGTAAGTTTTGTAAAGACAAGAATAATAGCTAATCAATTATGGCCAACCTATATATTAATCTCGATAGGATCTTAACTATTAATCCATTAAGTTGTTAGATTCTCTTGATAGGATCTTAATGATTAATGGCAGAAGAAATTATAGGTCGTAAAAAATGATATGAATCCATTAAATTATTGGATTCTCAATTCGAAGCGGATATAGAAGAAAAAAATTTTAGATCCGTATTTGATATAAAATTTTAGACCCGTATTTGATATAAAATTTTTGATCATAATCATATGAACAGAGGAAGCCATATGATCTATCATATATCCCTATCAAATCCAAATTTTTTGAAAGGGTTTCAAGGAGAAGCATTGGAAAATATCATTTCATTAATGAGACGATTGTCATCCACAAAAAGATATCATTGTAGAGAAAGCCTAGTTTTCAAAGCGGAATGAGCCAAAAGCATGTTTAAAGATGAAACTAGTATAACAGTAAAAAGACAAGTGTGTCATAAAAAAGGAGGTGTTTTAGTGAGAAATTATCATAGACTCCCTCATGTGTTTTGCTCATGTTAAATTATCAAATAATTTTACCATAATCTCTAACATCGATATCATTACTATTATTTTATATTGGGATGGATAATGTTGAACTATAATCAAATGTTAGATCCCGAGAGTCGTTTTCAATTATTGAACTTGGTTAAGACTCAATAAAAAAGGATTGAGCTTATATAAGGAAGTAGAGGATTGGACAAAGGGATCTTTAGAGCTATTAGGACATTGATCAATTTTATGACCAAGTCACCCACCACCAATGATACTAGTTGGGGGAGAGGGGGGGGGTGATAGGGTGAGGTGTTAAAATTTTATAAGCAACAACTTTAAAGATACCATATTGAGGTTTATCGATCCAATGTCATGTTTGAAGGGATGAGTAATATTGATTTTGACCTAGATTTAAATATATTGACCTCTCTTAAATTTGAGAGACAAGAGTTGATTTTAAGTGGACAACCAAGGAGAGAGATTATTTAAAAAAATATTTTTCATTCTAATATTTTGTAAAGAGTCTTGGGAGGTGAATCTAAATAGAGATAGTGTTGATTCTTGTCATATTTAATTGAAAATTAAGTCACTAAGTGGTAAGTTGAAGCACATCTCTCATAAGATTCTAACAACTATTCGTGATAATTTATAAAAAAAATTAACTTTTATGTTTAAAATTAAAACACAATAGGAGAGAGACCAAATCTTAGGAAGAATATTTTGTAAAACTGGTAGAGGAGGTGACCAACGAAGGAACTTATCGATCAAGTAAGAATTCTAAGATTTCCTATAAAATTATTGTTTATCATTATCAAAAAGGTATGAAATCCTACACCGAAAATTTGATGTGTTCAAGTGAATGATTAAGAAGAGATCTTCAATTGTGTATTAAGAAAAATAACTTTGAAGCAAGAACAAAAACCCATGATAATTGTTATAGAGTCGAGGAGATATGACAAAAAAAATCGAAATACTTTGATAAAACATAGGGAGATGAAGAGGGGGAGAAAATGGGCGAAGAGAAAAAAGAAGAGGACATCACTTCAATCGAAATACTAGTCCTACATGCAGTAAGAAAAATACTCTTGATATACTTGCTATTAAATTACTTCAAAATTAATAGCTAATTAATGTTTCATAAGTTGATATTCAATTAATTAATAGTATTCACTTATATAAAATTTTGATTTGAGTTAATAAGCTTGAAAAAGTTCCCATATCGACAATCCAACATCAATTATTTTTTGAAATAATTATATATTTAATTATCATAATTAAATTTTTTTATATCCTTGTGTCAAATATATATAAGGATCTTTCCCTAATGCGATGGAGATGAGTATATAAATAATTTTTTTTTATCCATATGATTATGAGATAAGCATAGATAGAACACTTTATACTTAAGAAAATATAAAAAAATTGATAGATTTTCAAACGTGGATATCTGATTTACCTCGTCTTACTGATATTTCTTAAGAATCACCTTGAGGATATGTGATTAGAAGAATAATATTATTTTGATAGAGGATTGTAATTAATATTTTAAATGATAAATAATTTTTTTATTAAGTAATAGTTAAATTTTTATTAAAACTTATCATATTCAGCAGCAATTCCGTACGTGTAGTAGGAAGAAAGATGCAGGCTGCCACGGCTTGTCGACAAATGCATCTTCCAAAGAAGCCGTAGATGGGAGTTCCGTAATCGACGGGACAAGTAATCCAAGTGTTCGAAGTCGGATTGGTCAACGTACACGAGGGTCTTCGCTTTGACCGAGACGTCATTGACCTTTCCGTCCTTCCGCTGACTCGTGCGGGAGACAGGTGGGAACCAGAGGGTCCTACATGTCACCATTTGGAGCGCTTATCTCCACAGTAATCTAACCGGGGCTGAGTTATAGACGGGTCCGACCCGATAACACGTAGACCAGTAATAACGATGACGACGTCCTCCGCACTCGGACGAGCGATTCCAACACGTCTCTCCTCCTCTTTCTCTGCGGAACTGGGTATTATTCCCATGGTTTCCAAAGCAATCAATGCTGGCGAATGGCGACAAAGCAAAAGGTCGCTGGTGAGTTGCAAGGCCACCTCCGGTTTCTTCTTCTTCTTCTTCTTCTTCCCACCTTCCCTTTCCACCACCTTATCCTTGAATCTACGGGGTTTTCGAGCGCACGTTTATAATTGCCATCGAAGTAGCAGAACCGGACGTTGATGAGAATCATGGCCGGAGATGAAGACTGCACTCAGACGCAGCTACCCTTCAACGAGAACGACTCCCAGGACGTGGTCCTGTTCGAGGTCCTCCGCGAGGCGTCGGCCGGGCCCCCGCCGCCGCCGCCGCTGCCCTCCTCATCCTCCACCTCGGACGACTCGGGTTCAGGCCCCGCCCGCAGGCGCGCCGGGAAGTACCGAGGGGTACGGCGGCGGCCGTGGGGCAAGTTCGCGGCGGAGATCCGCGACTCGTCCCGGCACGGCGCCCGGCTCTGGCTCGGTACCTTCGACACGGCCGAGGCGGCGGCCATAGCCTACGACCGAGCGGCGTTCCGGATGCGGGGTTCCAAGGCGCTCCTCAACTTCCCACTAGCCATCGCGCTCGCAAGCGGAGCGCCGGCGGTTGGCAGGCAAAGAATTGCGCAGGGCGGTTCCGATGCCGTTCCCAGCACGGTGGAGCCTCAGAACCCGAGGCCGGACCACTCGGCAGGCTTGCTGGAAGCCTCCAAAGCAGGTGAGAGTACAAAGAGTGTTCTCAACAGGCAACTCTGACATGGTGATTCATGAAGCTTGATGTGAGTAAACTTGGAATCGGATGCAATAGATGCTCAAAATTGATCATAGACGAAGTCCTCTGTCAACCTGTTGAGGCGATTCATCAATTCATTTACTCTGTTTCCCTTTTTATTAAAGACTACGCTCAATATCTGATATTGTAATACATATGCAATCTGGACAAAGCAAAAGAGATGGATGAAACCGATGGACTGAGAAAAGCTTTTGTGTTTGCTGTGATCTCTTTGGGCTCAATTCAAGCTGTTCATACACATGCATACATGGAAAACAAAGAAACATTTAGCATTGATTTCTCCAAATTTTCACTGTCCCCATTACTCTTGAGACAACAAGCTTTCCAAGTAGTCAGTGCCAAGGTCTTGCAACTCCACCACATCTCTTCGGTTGTTGATCATCCCCTCGATGCTCCTTTCTCTTCTACATGCCGGTCGCTCCTCGTCCAAATCCGCTCGCTCATGAATTGCTGCGGTGCAGCCGTAAACAGAGCATGCCTCGTCGCACAGCGCGCAGGTTGACGGCTGCTCATAGCGAGTGCTTTTGGAGCTCCTGATGGCCGTCTCCAGTGGAAAGTTCAGGTGAGCTCGGGGCCCTCTCATCCTCAACGCAGCTCTGTCATATGCTATGGCGGCTTCCTCTGCAGTGTTGAACGTCCCCAGCCAAACCCGAGCTCCTTTCCTGGATATGTCCCTGATTTCTGCTGCAAACTTCCCCCATGGCCGCCTCCTCACGCCCCTATAATGCCTGGTCGTCTCCCTTTCCGCTCCGGCAGCTGTCGGCCTCGTACTGCGGGCTGATTCGGTAGCAGGAGTTGGGCTGCAGTTTGAGACGCTGCAAGTTCCATCAAGCAGCTCCTCCCACGTCTCAGCCCCCATGGAGATCCATCTCCCAAGGCTTGGAAGTCTTTGGATGAGCGCCAGGTTCTCGTTCCTGCTCTCCAGGTTGGGTAGATCTTCCCAGGTCGCGGATCCAATGGCTGGTCGGTGACTGCCATTGATGAAGCTGGCCCATACGTTCTCGAGCAGCATCTGGTTTGATTCAGACTTCTTCTCCATGAGGGTTGTGGAGCTCAGAAGACGTTTCGGATTGAAGAGAAGCTGTGAAGTTGAATCGCAGAGAAGCCTATATAGCATTGCCAGCGACCACACAGCTCATTGTTCGATTGATGCAAGGAAACTTGAAGTGCTCTCCAAGGATTTTGCTGACATGTATACCACATCATGATCATGCTAGGCAGACTGGTGGATCGTTGACTTGTTACACAACTCCTGATCATTCTTAAGTTGCAGGCCAATCGACAGGTGCTGCTGCATGAAGGTTTCAGATCACTTCTTCCTGAATCATCGCTCCTGCTTTCCTGCACCTGCACGATATCTTTTGGTACCGGGAAAGATCATAACAGTGGGTGTCGGATGTATGTGATGAACGGTTGCTTGTGGTTCATCCATCCATGTATTCTCGTGTTGGATCCTTTTCTTAGGAGTCTTAAGAGGGCAAGACATTCCCCGTAGTTCCTTATGGAGATGGCAAATGAGCTGCTAATCCCGAGTCCTCTTTCTCCTGTTCCTGAAGCAACTATATATATATACACCTTTGCTTGGATATCAGCCGCAAGTAACATCCAATATAGAAGTATTATTAATGTAATGGGAGATTGCTTTGCATCTTGAGGTCAAGGGCAAAGCTGTGTGCTCATGAAAGCTAGAGTAACACTTCATTTATGATGCTGGCATCGAGAGATGAGCTGTAGATACAATGTATCTGGTGAATCCTGCTTGGGTATTATTGTGTGCTGGTCAACGGAATAGGCTAAAGCTGATGGGATAATTACACCTGTGATTTAATTATACGAGACTTTATATATTGAGTGATCATTGAATCAACCCGATTGGATTTGACCCAATATGTGTAAGGAGTTTGATGTCGTTGAGAAGATACTTGTACATCTGTAGATCGATCTTGTGATGTCTAATGAGATTCTTTTAATATTTAGGTTAGTTTTGATAATAACATATAAGATTTCTCTAACTATACGAGGAAATCTCTCTATTCTGTTGAGAGAAATCCTATAATTTATTGAGGGACATGTGAATGCAATCAAGCTTCTTCAGTAATTTCTTTCTCTATCGCACTTGCACTTGAAGATGACCGGGAGGACTCCCAACCGTCCAAATTACTGAACAGCTACCTCCTAACCGTCCAAATTTCTTTCTCTATCCTTTTGTTTCTAACATGCTAAGGAACTTGCACCTGAAGATGGATGATGCATAGGGAGGACTCCACTGCAGCTGCCTCCCAACCGTTCACCACAGTTCCTACAGTGATGCCTGCGATTAAAAGCACCAAAATTTGAACCACACGATGTGCATTTGCTTACAGCTTCATCTGGAACCCAGTGATCTTTCTCCTCATTAGTAGGTTTTATCAAGCTTCCCCGTCGGAATCCATTGCAGCTGCCTCCCAACCACAGCAGCTTCTCAAATCTCGGCTCGTGGACCGTGATTCCATCTTAGTCGCTCCCCCTTCCGTCGTTGCTCCCATCGTGACCACACCTGGCATCGCCATCAGGATCGTTGCGTTGGCCTCCTTTGAAGCTGAACAAGGGCCACCATGCCACACCCTCTTCTTCTCCTTGTGTCGACGACATTCTTTATTGTTGCTTTTCCTTTGCCTCTTCCTGTAGAAGCAGAGCTGATACAGCCTCGCAACTACTCCCCGGCAAGCGACCTCTTCTCCTCATTCTTGCATCTCGCTCGAGCGAGAAGTGCCGCTGTCGCCATCCTTGCCGCACAGCCATCACTGTCTTCCTATGGCAGCAATAACGATTGCAGTTCTTCTTCAACGATCTTCCTCTAGGAATGAAGGAACTAAGACAAGTAACAAGCCGCAGCAGCTTTCGCTGCATCTGTTGCTACCGCTTCCCTCTGCATTAAGGCCGACGGAGCTCTTCCACTATACGCTTAATCGCTGCAGATTTCTAACAGATTTCTCTCGCTACAGTTTCCTTGAGCATTGCTGCAGCTTCTGTTAGGATTAAGATTTTAGTGCAATGGAAAACTTTCACGATTTTAAAAAAATATTTGTTTTGATTAAAATAAATTCTGACGAAAATGGTTTTGATTCAATCTGTTTCGGAGAGAAGTTGAACTTGAAAGCTTTTGTAAAAGTGTAAGAGAAGATTAAGGAGGTTTGCAGTAATGTAAATTATACAAATGAAAAGCAAATTAGAATTTAGAGTGGTTCGGTCAATGTGACCTACATCCACTTTCGGATTTCTCCTCTGACGAGGTCACCGGCATCTACTAAAGGCTTTCGAACACCTCCACTTTCAGATTTCTCCTCTAACGAGGTCACCGGCATCCACTAAAGGCTTTCCTTCAATAGGTGAAGACCGAACACCTCTTTACAATACTTTCTCCTTTTCTGGGTTTAGGAGATAACTCTTACAAGTCTCACTCCTCTTTCTTGTATGGTTACAAGGCTAAGAGATGAAGAGGAGAACTCTAACTTTTACAACACTTTTATGACTCAAGAATTTAAGATTAAGCTAATGCTTTCGTGCCTTTTCATGCAAAAAATGATAGGGTTTTTATAGACCCTAATGGCTTCAAAATTGGAGCCAAAAAGTGCCATATCTCCGGAATCCGGGGTACCGACGGTACCACCGCGACGGTACTACCGCCGCTGATCTAATACTGGGCAGCTACCGCCTGACAGGGGCGGTACCATCACTGGTAGCATTCATTGCCAGCGGTACCACCACTCAGTCTGGGTGGTACCACCGCCTAGATATCCTAGGGGGCATTACTTTCCAGGTAGTGCCACCACCGGCCAAGAATTCAGGAGTTGAATTGGCTAATCAATTTGGCCTAATTCAGCTCTATTAAGGGCCCAGTTGGCCTCTAATTAAGTTAGTGGGATTACCTCCCAATATTAACTTAATTTATGCTCTAACTACGATAATTAAGATATAATTACAACGCTTCTTGTTCCGGTGCGTCAATTGCTCTTCCGGTGAACATCCGACGAACTCTCGGCAATGTTCCGATAGACTCCCGGTAAGCTCCTAGACTTTATGACGATCTTCTTGGTGAGTTCTGACGAGTTTCTTTGGCAAGCTCCTAGACTTCTCGGTTGGTTCTGGCGGAACTTGCTACGAACGTTCGGACTTCCGATGAACTCGAACTCCCAATGAGATCTCGATCTTGACTCTGAAATAACACCTACTTTATGTCTTACTGCTATCGTAGTTAATCCTACACACTTTTCTCAATATATAGATTAGATCAAACAAATTACAATTGACTTCATCATCAAAGAGATTAAACAATCTCCCCCTTTTTTAGGATGACAATCAATTGATGACGGAGTTAACCTTAACTCCCCTATCTATATGTCATACTTGAGAAAAGATATTTTTGAATTCTAGGCTTTTGAATTCAAGAAACAAACTGATAAAATAAATTCATTAAACTTATCAATATGCACATCATGATTCCTATCATGATCTAACATTTTCAAAATACGATGCCAAGTATTTCTCAAAATGATGTAAAGGCATGACGTCCATTTTCAAGTATGATATTTCAAATATCAAAAATGATAATGATAGCAATTCATCATTCTATGGCAAGATATCAATTGTAAAATAGTAATTTAAGCTCTAGATATCTTATCATAATGAAAGAAATTTATCAAGCAAACATTTCAAGTATATATGATGAAATACATTACATACATTTGTCATTAATTTATCATATTTTGGTATTATTTCTCCCCCTTTGTCATCAACAAAAAGGAGAACAATTCAATAATGCAAGTGTGGTAAAAAAAATCAAGCAAGTTTCGCACTCAAAAGTTCTCATCATTAAAGGTTATCAACATTAAAGCGATAGATTCTAACAACTTCTCCCCCTTTGTCATCACAATTTTGCATGAAGAGGAGGAAAGAAGGTAAGGAGGGAATCCATTAAGAACTAAATTTATAAAATGATTTGAATCAAGTCAGAAAATGATAAATAAGTTTTCATTAAAGCATGCTTTCATTTTGACAAAGAGAAGGGATTCATAAAAAGGATCGAAATATCCATATGAAATCAAATCCCCACGAAAATTATCATACACATGTTTTCATTATCACACACGAGAAGGGATTTGTTAAAACATGCTTTCATTATCACACACGAAAATTCATCTTTCAAGGATTAAGATATCTATTGGAATTCATAAGAGTGAAATCCGTGAGAAATGCATTTATCAATGACTTCCATGTATCAAACATCAAGATATGTATAAACACTTTCATGCATTTGTAAAATGTTTCGTCATAGCCTTTCATCACTACTTGCATGAGGTAATATCATTAGTGCTTGTAGCACTCAAAAGTTAAGAATCCGATGTATGATTAAAACTTTTCAATAGAGATCATAATTATTATAGAAATTTTCAGCATCAAAATAAACACGATATTGCATCATCGTATGATAACATGCTCATCATTTAAAGAGATCACAACATCATCAAAGTAAACATGATATTGCATCATTGTATGATAACATACTCATCATTTAAAGAGATCACAACACAACAGAAATTTTCAGCATCAAAGTAAACACGATATTACATTATTGTATGATAACATGCTCATCATTTAAAAAGATCACAACATCATAGAAATTTCTAACATCAAAGTAAACATCTTATTGTCATGAAGCACATAACCTTATTTACATTATCATGTAAAATTTGCATCATAAGAGGAGAAGATTTAAGTGAGCGATCCAAAGAGTCAAGAAAGTCCGAAAATGAAATGTAACAAATTCATGCATTCGGACAAATTAACATTCCTAATTTTCTTCTAATAAAATCAAATTATTCTTTACTTAAAGGCTTTGTAAAAATATCGACTAATTGATATTTTGTATCAATAAACTCTAAGCTTACATTATGATTATTGACATGATCTCATATAAAGTGATGCCTAATATCAATATGTTTAGTTCTAGAGTATTAAATGAGATTTTTTGTTAAACATATTGCACTTGTATTATCACATTTTATGGGAATGTTTTTAAGATGAATCTTATAATCCTATAAAGTATTTTTCATCCACACAACTTGTGCACAACATGCACTAGCTGCAATGTACTCGGCTTCGGTTGTAGATAGTGCAACCGAGTTTTGTTTCTTAGAAGACCAAGAAACAAGTGTATGTCCTAAAAATTGACATGTTCCGGATATGCTTTTTATATCTAATCTATATCCATCAAAATCTGCATCAACATAAGCAATTAGCTCAAAGTTCTCGGATTTTGGATACTATAATCCTAGATTTGTGATCTCTTTAAGATATCTAAGTATTCTCTTAACTGCTTTAAGATAAGATATCTTAGGATTAAATTGAAACACAACACATAGTCCTACACTAAACATGATATCCGGTCTTGTTGTGGTGAGGTAGAGTAAACTTTCTATCATACCCCTATAAGCTTTTGATCAAAGCTTTCTCCACCTTCATCAATGTCTAACTTAGTGGAGGTGCTCATAGAAGTATTATTAGCCTTTGAGCTATCTATATTAAACGTTTTTAGCAATTCTAGAACATATTTTGTTTGACTAAGAAAAATAGCATTATTTAGTTATTTGATTTGTAAGCCTAAAAAGAAAGTTAATTCCCCCATCAAACTCATTTCAAATTCAAGACTCATACATTTATATAGAGATTCATTCATAGAACCGAAAATAATATCATCAACATAAGTTTGAATAATAAAAAAATTATTTTTAAATTTTTTGATAAATAATGTAGTATCGATTTTGCCTTTAGAAAAATTATTTTTGATAAGAAATGAGCTAAGTCTCTCATACCAAGCCCTTGGG